TGTGTGTGTGTGTGTGTGTGTGTCAGATCCAATGAGATCTCCTCCTGTCCTTAGCTGTTGGCTAATGACCCTGATGATGTGGAACGTTCACTGTTTATCTTCCACCTCATTAGTTTGAGGCCAATACACACACACACACACACACACACACACACACGCACACACGTATGAGGCGTGGATGCACAGACCCTCACAGGTTCACACCTACACACTTATTTTTTAAAATTTTTGATTTCATGTGTGCAAAAAAAGATTTGCTGTGATTTTCAGAACTGGACACAGAGCTGTGATGCTGCTGTGATGCTGCTGTGATGCTGCTGTGATGCTGCTGTGATGCTGCTGTGATGCTGCTGTGATGCTGCTGTGATGCTGCTGTGTGCTCAGGCCCACAGCAGCATCACAGCAGCATCACAGGAGCCGACCAGCTCAGTTAAATCATGCCAACATTCTCAATGATGTCATGCTTGGAGACGAATCTAATGCCTCATTTACAGGCGACTTATTGGACATTTTTATGCAGTTTAACTTGGAGGTTAATTTGCTCGTCCTTCACTGCAGCTGCTGGTATTTTCTGGTGCCTTTGAAATAAAATCCAGCACCTGTGGTGCAGAGGCAGCCTTCATTTAAATGAAGCATAAGCCACATATATGTGACTCCCCCCACACGCACGCAGACGTGTCCCCGCTGACCTCCCTTTGCAGACACTCTTTAGCTCATGACTAATGGCTTAGCTGACGTTTAAATACACACCATAGATCTACAGCCATCAGAGGATGGCATGTTCTCTACAGTCAGTTTCCTGAACTTTTACCCTAATCTCAGCCTAATCTTACTTTATCCCAGCCTAACAACACATCTACGCAAAAAGGAAGAAATGAGGGTGGTTCAGGCCTTTTGCACAGCACTTGTATCCAGATGAAGGCATGTCAGGGTGGTCTGCATAACTGTAAGAAGCAGCAACGACGTCACTGCAGACAGAAGGAACCTGGTTTAAATGTTGGAGAGGAGCAGGTATTTAAAGCTAAATCAGGGAAACGTTACGGGTGGCGTTTCATTTGTTACCTTATTGTCATTGTGAAAGCAAAAAGAAAGCCAGTGCTAACCTCACGTTGTGTGTAACTGCGACACAGAGAGACTATAAAGTGATCCTACAAATGATAAAATATACATCAAATAAACCAAATTAATGAAAAAATATATTTGAAGACATAAAAACACACTCTGTAGTTACCTGTAAACACGTGCCTGTCTTGAATAAATGAAACTTCAGTCTTACATCACGAGCGAGCCGACTGAGATTGCCTAATATGATGAATCTGATTATTTATTAGCTGAAATCTGGACAAAGCAACGATGTGAATGTTCAGGTTAACGCAGGCTCCGTCAACGATGCTTAAAAAGGTAAATTCATAGGTTTAAAAACGGTCCAATGCAAACAACCACAGACATCAACGGCGTTGGACGAAACCATCGCTATGACACAGAAGAAGTCGAACCACGCTGCACCATTGTAATCAGTACCATTTTATACCACAAGGTGGCGCAGTGCTGTAATCTTTATATCAGTGTTAATGAGGAAGTTGTTCTTTACAGCTCTGTGGGACATGTGGGCTTATATAAAAGTGAAAAGGCGAAACCTGCAGCACAAAACATGTCACCACGCTGGTGAAACTCTGCCCCCTGCTGGTGAAAGTTTTAGTCGAGCACTGCAGAGGGAAACTACAAAAAGCTCTTTAAATGTGAGAGCTCAGACTGTGTGTGTGTGTGTGTGTGTGTGTGTGTGTGTGTGTGTGTGGTGTGTGTGTGTGTGTGTGTG